AGGGGCTGGGTTCTCGGTGTTCCTGGCAAGGATGAGTTGTCGGGGCTATTAATAAGCCTGGCGGTTGGTGGCTGGTGACAACACGTGAAACTCCATGACGTCTCACTGTGATGTTGGCCAAACCTTGCCTCCAACCCTCCTCCGTCGGGACAATGGTTAGCCTTGGCAAACACACTGAATTTCCCAAAAACGTGTTTACAAATATTTTCAAAAGCGGCCCAAACAATGCGACAGCCTCGGGGGGACTCCGGATCCCTATTGTGTGCATTTTGCATGACTTTTCCTCTTTAACCATCGCATGAATATCTATGGCTGGCTGTTGTTCTTTTTTAAATTGTTGCTTCTTTTCAATATCTGTGGCTGTACTATGTGTATATCCTCATCAAAGCGTCGTATTTGTTGCCTCGTCCTCTCGTTTCACATTTTTTCTCCGCTCATTATCCTTCATGATTGAGTAGTTGGCAATATCTATAAATTGGTATGTTCTTATAGATACCTCTATTGACTGTCTCCCGAGCGATTTCTTGGAGCTACGAACAAATGTCGGTTGGTAAATAAACCGAGATTTGTTTTCTTTTATATTTATTCTTGTTTGGAAATAAAGTTTATTGTTTGCAAAAAAAAAATATATATATCGTGGAAATATTGACATCAAAGGAGCTATCTTAGGAATAATAGATAAGAAACAATAAGTAATAATAAAATCTAGATGATAGAGACAGTGAAGAAATTAATGTTAACAAATATATTCAGCTGCAAGATCTTAAAGATTTAGTTATTAAAAAACATATTAATTTTCTAAATTGATTATTATAATTGTACATTTATTTACAGTTTTTGTTTTGTTTACAGTTTTTAATTCAATATTATAACGTTTAATTTTAAGAAGGTCTAATATTACACTGACAAAATAAACACATGTTCTTTACTTGCCACAGTATTTTGTTAATTATGATAAATACACAACGATTGAGTGATTAAGGTAAAAAAATGGTTAACGATTTTTCATATTTTTTATACTCTTTCAAGGTGTTATAATTTTAGTTAAAAGCTTGTAACTATGTGAAGGAATCATTTCCGAACCCATAAATCATATATATTCTTGATCAGCATGAATAGCCAAGTCGAAATAGGCATGGCCGGTTCAAAAATACATTTTTGAAAAATTTTCCAAATTTTATAAGGGGTTACATCGTTAAAATTAAAAAAAAAATGACAAAAATTAGAACTTCTTAAAATTTTAAATTGAGTATGCAGGATTTTTAGCCTAATAAAAACTAACATAGGAGAGCTTTCCGATTTTAATTTAATGCGTTTTTGGCTTAGTTATGGGATTTTTATACTTTGATTTGTTAAAAAAATTGTCATATAAAATTACCAATATTTATTGATTAAAAAACTACAATTTTTTCGATTCGATTCCATATTTTATTTGCAAACTGAAAGATAATTTAACTTGGGCTTCCTGAAGTTAGTTAACTTTCTTGTTATAATACAAATTCCTTTTTTTTCTGAAAATCAAAAGTTAAAGTATTCCAAAAATAACTAAGTAATATTTTTATAATAATAATAAGAAAACCAAAGTTCTGTAATCTATTTTGATAGTTTAATATTAATAAAAAAATATTCTGCTAATTTACTCGGATATTTTCATAGAACTTAAATATAAATAAATAAAAAGTCTTACGAAGTAGTAGTAATCTCATTTGAAATGGTTACTGTAGTCCCTTAGGAGCAATTATAATCTTCCATATTCAATACATTAATGTCTACATATAAATATAACCTCCCATACTTCTTCAATACTTTAATATTTATCCCTTGCTTAATTTCCATGTTCAGTTACTTATTTCCTTTTAAGAAAATTCGCTTTAAAATGCATATATAAATGCATATATATTCCTTTAAATCCCCATATATGCAAAGGATAATAGATTCCGTCTTGATCCTGAGCATATTACTCTTTTCATGGACCTTATCTGGGGATATTATCGGGAATTTGATGAATGCACTACGCATATCGGCTGTGTTATTTCAATTTTGCCTAAAAAAACATGCACACGAGAGAGATTGAGTGCCATTGATAACAAATTTCATACGTAAAGATTACTTAAAAGGAGCTCAGTGAGTAAAAATGTTATTGTAGGATTATGTTTCCTGTTTCTTTGAAAAAAATCGCCTGGACACAACACAACACAACGCACACATGACAATGGGAGGGATCAATAGGAAAACGGAATCGAAGTGGAAATGAAAATGAAAATGGAAAACTGTATGGTGAGGCCATATATGGGACCACAGATATTGTGTGGGTCTTGGGTTTCCATGGTCAACCGCTATGTTGGCTTGCCACGGTAGTCGGATCGAAGTCTATGGGATCTATTGGGATCTGAAAAAGGATCTTTAAGGCTCGAGATCTGTGTGCGAGGGAGCGACTTCTGCTTTTCTCTTTCTTCCCTTTTTTTTTTGCCTCGGGGCGTTCGGTAGGCGACATGTAGGTAAACAAGGACATACAAGGATATGGTATATATATGTGAGCGGCGAAGATAGGCATCTCCTTGAAGGCTTCCCGGCACCGGTGATTAGCTCCTTTGTTGGCCTCATCGTCTTCCTCATCGCCTTCGATCCTACCTCTTCTGCCTCCGACGCTTTTGTTGATGTCTTTATGGCGATGCAGAAGTGCACAATGTCCGGACGAGATACTTGCCTTCTCTAGTAGCCATTGAACTGGAATAGGAACGTGAATCCCTTCAATCTTTCTCCTGAATTGTCCCCTATGATATATCTTTTGGGATGGATATATGTATAACAATTGTAACTATTTAATGCTTTTGTAGGACACAGGAAGTCGATGGTTCCTAAGGAAAAATAATCTTACAGATACTTTAATTTATCACTCTGCTTATATTTATTCACTCTTCTTGCCTTTATTTTTGTAAGCTTAACTCGGAAGTCGGAAGTAGTTTTTTAGAATTTGTCTAACTTTTTTTTAATGAAAAAGGATTTTTCTTAGACTTTTATATAAACCTAATCCGACATTTTGAAACTGAAAAATTACAAGAACAAAAAAATGTTTAATAGGGAAATATAAATATGTGTAAAAGAGAATGTTAAGATGCCACAAGAAAACATAAATTATCTGCACTCTATGGACTATAAAGTCGATATTTTTACATATTAGCTTTTTAAAAATATCACAACTTAGTCCAAAAATTATATATTTTAGTTTGGGAAAAAGTGATGAAAAAAAATAATCTGAATTCAGTTTAAAAGAAATTGGACTTATAAATAAAATATTTAACTATATTTGTAAATAATAAAATGATCAGGTTATAGAAAACAATTAATGATTTTTATATATATTTTATATTAAATTATTATATCATATATTATCCTATATGAAAAAGATTTATTATTACATATTACTATGTTTATTTAGCGAAGAATATTAAATATATTGGTTTGTTATCAATGTTTGTTTTATATTTTTATTTTAAAGAATTTTAAGAGAATTTTCTAAGAATTTATGTATAATCTTCGTAATTAATATCTAGCTATCTTATTTTAATCCAATATCCTATAAGAAACAGTTATCTGATCCTTGTGGATTTGCACAGCACACGATCAGCTCATGCTCATATGTATTCCCTTCTTTAATCACATATGAATGAAGACTTATCGTTGATGTTCAATTACTCAGTGAAAAGAGCTCCTTACACCTCCTAAACTGAGATCATTTATCACATGTGGAAATGGGATATCCCGAGATAGAACTATTCCTCGACAAACCAATCTCTCTAGACTGATTACACCAATCACCTATGGCATCTACTAGATCCTAAGTTCACACATGATCCTGGATAGTGGAATCTGGTTAACCAATTCCTGGTTACAACTTCTATCTCACAGTCTCAATTAGCAGTCTGGCCGGGATCTGCTCAAGATAGCCACTTCTACTTGACAGGAGATACTAATCAGAGTGGCTATCTTCAGGCAGATATCCCAGAGTGCACCCAATGAGCAACTCAATCACTCACATTCGTTAGGCACTACTTATTCATTGTTCAGCAAGTACTCACATGCAAGGGATTTACATTTATCTGCGATGTGCAATCTAGAAGTACTTCGGGGATTATTTCAAGCAGTGATCATCCCAACACCGGCCAAGATGTAGATAAGGCATCCAAAACTAGCACTCTGTTTTGGTACTTGGTTTACAAAATATTTTCCTCTATTGTCACAGCACTTGAAGATCCATGGCCAGCGATAAGATCAACAATGGTAGGCAGTCGGGGCCTCAAATTTCATGCATAGCTATTTTTTCAATAAATAATTCTTATGTCTGGCGACGCTGCGTGTCTCGGAACAGTGCCGCCAAAAATTAAGAAAATATATATATAGGATTGTATATATACAACTAAGTAGGAATGTCAAATATTGTTCCAATCGACTTGGCCACTTGCTATCGTGTCTAAAGAATAATTCCGTTTCTGTTTCTGTTTGTCTTCTTCTACTTCGGAGTGAGTTTGCTTAGTCCTTTGTCAATATTTGCCGTACAAGTGCAAAGAAAACCTCTATTTGCCCAGCGGAGAGTCCCTTGTGTTAATCGGCGATGCCAGCTATATTGACAGAGAGCTCATTAGATCCCTTCTTCAACGCTTGATGGTACCCTGAGTCGAAGTCTGGGTCTGATTGCTGTGAGTATTTTTCAAAGTCACTACGTGTGTAATGGAGGGATAGGGAGGTGCATTTTCATGGTACACCAAGAATATGAAGTGTTTTCATGGCTCGATCAGCATCCCATGGCAGCAGCGATAATGACAGCCTATTTACCTTATTTTATCTAGGTTTTTTTTAGAGACTGAAATTGAAAATATGTACATGTAAAGAGATTTCGTAGTCTGTATATTTAAAACCGGTAAGATCTGATGCCTTAAGCTTACTAGTTCAAAGCTGGTTGTATTTAGTTCGAGGAGACACTGATAAGAAATTCCAAGAAACTCAATTCCATTCTTTTATTCTTATCAAAGAACTCTTAATACACTTTCTTTGCTAAAATCTTATTAAAACTTTTGGAAAATCTCCAAATCAGATCGCTTGACGCGTTTGCGACGTTTCATTAAATCCTCAAAATCAATATTATCGCATCGTCCAGTCAAAACATCATCCATTACCTTGCTTCCAACCATACTGACGACTAAACGATCCATAATCATTTTCATGGGAAGTCCAATACCCTCTTCTTGGCGTAGATCTCGCATATTAAATTTGAAACGGTTTTCGTAAAAGTTCAAGTTAAAGTCTTTTATTTTGTCAATCACAATGCCCTTGTTGTAGTCGCTGCTCTGTGGTTGTATTGGCCAATCCACATCTGGGGGTACTTCAGGAGATCTTATTCCTTCCATTTTGCTTAGTAATCTATGAAATATATTTATAATTATATATTAATATATTTATTTGTATAGGGATCTTACTAATATCCACTAATATCGAAGCGTTGTCTAGCAGACTTAATAAAACTGAATGATATATAAAATTACAGTTGAGCTTGAAGTAAAGATCTTTGCTGTATCGATAAGAAAATAATAAAATGGAGAATATATAAGGTTCTATTCCACAATCCCTGTAAAATGTACAGTAAATCCAAGGCTAAATGGACCTCCCTGATATAGCAAGTTGGGTGTATCTAAGTAACTTTCGATCCGCTCCTTTTGTATGCCATTAGCACTCCCTTGAGAAATCGTATTTCTGTTTACAGTCCAAGATTGTGACTAAAGATCGGCTTCCGGTCGCCCTGATATATCTAACAATTGCATGTAAATTGTATTAGCAACGCATCCTCTATTTTTATTAGCCTTGGACCGGTAATTTCAATTCTAAAAGGTTTGTAAAGGACTTAGAAATTGCTCAGGGCCATGCAGGACGACATCCTGGTTTGCTGTTACATTCATTGAATTGCATTCTCTCGAATTGAATTGGCATGTAAAATGCACTCGCCGTGTTTTTGCGTCCAATTGTGACCAATTTTAGTGTCGACGATTTGTGTATTTCTTTTGGTGCGGTTCCAACTTCGAATGGTTTGAATGGACCGGGAGATGTCCTGCGGAGCTACGCACGAGTGCCTCTCAATGGACAGGACAATGGACTGGACCTCTCACCGGCATTCACACTCGACGGTCGAGTGAGAAAGCATTGTCCTTTGAGAGGCGAACACTCATTCAGCACTCGTTGCACCCGCAGACAATGCCCCGTTTTCAATGCACATGCGCAACGAATGCTCCTCCGCTGGTCCATTGAACGAAAATCCATTGCCAATTATACATACATTTATTGTCTACTAACACGAATATTGTCCCGATCCTCTCGGGGTCTCAGGATCTGGTCGACATGTCCTGGACATGTTTCTGCTTGCTGTTGGCCATAAGTCCGATCGATCTTTTGGCCAGATTGGTGCAATAAGGCAGATACACTGGGGAAAAGATTCCTGGAGGTTTTATCTTCTTTAAAAATATATAAATAATAGAAATATATGGTTTAAATATACAAAATATTTTAACTTATACACCAACTAGGAAATAACTTTTAGAATATAAATTTTACATATTTAATAATAAGTACATAAAATATTATTTACTCAATAAATTTTCAATCAGTATTTAAGAAACAAATTTAATAACAACACTTGTCCTACAAATTCTTCAAGTATTTAATTCTTAATTTCAATAACTGACTTTAAAAAATACAATTATTTTCCCCAGTGTAATTACAAACAATACCTCAGCATGCTTTCCCAACTTTCGTCTTCGTCATTTCCCCCTAAAAAGATTGTCCACCATTTTTTGAAGCAGTATCCACGACATTTTCCAGGCTATTAATTGTTTAGTTTGCTTTTTGTTGTTCATTTGTCTGCTTTCCACCTTCAATTACTCATAGGTGCTGCCAGCCATTAATGAAGGACAAAGAGCAGTCCTTTGAAAGCAATTTCGGTCGCTAAGTAGCAAACAATAGTTTGGCAATTATCAAACATATATAACACACTCTTTCTCGAGAGAGCTGCTCTTTTCTTTTTTTAGTCAGACAGTCAGTCAGCTGCGGATTCCTGGTAAAAGGCAAATTATTGTTAATAATCGTATAATGGAGGACCATAAATTTCAAGTCAATTTCTAAAGGACATTGTACTCATATCCATATCCACCCAGAAAATCCTTCATTGTAGTGTCAAGACTGTACTTTACAGTCAGATCTTTGGGATCTCGGTGCAGATGTGCTTCGCGTTATTTGAAATCAAGTGAATGGCAATTTGGTGGCAATTGAAGTACTTTGTTTTTTAAGAATACCCAGAATAGATCCTAATAACAACAAAATGGGAATGTAATGCTCTGGATAATGGAAACTTTACTGGGATGTATTTCATTGTCAATGATTTCAGTTAAGGTGTCGTCTGATTTATCAAATGATTGAAAAATTAACAAAGGACGTCTAAAATCCAGGTTGCAGCTGAAATGTCTTTATATACTACTTACAGCTATCTAAACCATAGGAAATAGTGTTCTATTTAATAACTTTATTGATTAAAAGCAAATATTTATCTTTGTTAGAGTTTCTCTATTCAAAGTTTTTAATCGTCAAACGTCATATATTTTTTGATGCGGCTTTAAATTTTACATTTATAAGGCAACACTATTTAGATTTTGTTATAAGGAATAAAGGATGCATCATTATATTTTCTTTCAATTTCAATTAATACTTTTTTAGATGAAGTCCGCTTATTCTTGTACCCTCGCAGGATATTAAGAAGCTTATATCGGTGTGAAGGAGTCATTTCCGATCTAATATATTTTTGATTAGCATCAATAGCCGAGTCGAACTAGCTATGTCCGGGTAAAAATTTTTTTTTGAATTTTTTTCAAAATTTTATAAGGAATTTTTTAATTTAATTTACCAAAATTTTAATTTTTTAAAATCTTACATTGAGTATGAAGATTTTTTTTATACAATAAAAACTAATATAGGAACTCTTTCTGATTTAAAATTCATGTTTTTTTGCCTTAGTTATGATTATTTAAAAAATTTTATTTGTTGAACAATTTTTTCATATAAAAATATAGCTATGTATTGATTCTAAGAATGCAAATATTTTAAACTTAGTTATGATCTATTTCGGTTCTGTCCCTTACTGCTGGGCTGTTTAAACTTTGATTTACCAAAGTAAGTTCCTTTTCCGTTATCTTTGATTTAAAAATAAAATAATACCATATTATTAAAGTAGCGATGAATATTGATTAAAAGTTCCTAAAGTTATATCTTTCCCTGGTAAAAAGTGTATGCGTATAGTATGTCATATATTTTCATTTCGCCTTTAAAATCTGAACTGATAAATCATAAAGACACAGTTCTTGTCATTTGCATTATTTTATAACGGGCTAATTTTTAAAACCTAAAATAAAGATACAATAAAAACTAAAATAAATCCCGGCTTCGTATTGAAATTTAATTTAATTTATTTATTTAATTGAACGCGGTATGCTTAATTATAAACTAAGCTACAGGATTGCTGATGTGTCTTTCGGTTGAAATTAATGACATTTTAGCATATTCCTGATCCTGATCCTAGATCCTGAAGTTTATTTTTAACAATAAGGATCCCGATAGAAACAATTATTCTATGGCATCTTTTTACCAATTATTTCTCTAAAAAACAGTTTAACCTTTTCATAAAGCTAGATTTTAAGTATTACCACACTTCCCTTAACTCAAATTAAGTTGACTGCAAGTTAGCAACTCAACAAAATCACCTCTTGGCCCAACAAGCTTCTTGTTAACCCAATTACAGGATCTGTTGAAGAGTCCTGGCCAAACCTTCGCAAATGCCATTCGATACAATTATGTGTCTAATGAACTGGGCGACTGAGGGTGTTTTAGTAAATTCCGTGTTGAGCGACATAAAGGATCGCTTGTGCGTAGATCAAAAGGGAAACCGAGACGAAGACCACCAAGCCAAATGAATTTTCCGCTTTGATCCTGCCGTGGCCGCTCGCCATTGTAACAGCTAATCGCACCAGGTGACGGATGCGACGGCTTGTCAGGATCAGAACTCAGTGTTTGGTGTTCAAGGATCGAAGATCGGTGGATGTGGAGGTGGAGGATGGTATGGTATAGTGACAAGGGAATAGTTCGGAGGTGTCTCTTTTCATGCGCCTGGGCATTGTGCGAAAAGTAGCAGTTTCCTCTTCTCCGACTCTCTCGCTTGGCCTTTGCTTTTGGCCCGCCCTTTGTGATCTATGTGGGTAGTCCTACGTGTTTGCCGAAGGTCCTTTCTCTCGACGGGCTACGAAAATTGTTACATAGACACTTTCAATTTGCTTTTAAATTGCCGACAAATTGGGTTTAGCGAGGGCCACCAAAGAAGATTACCTTTTAGATTGTAGTAGGTTATTTCAACTAGAGCTCTGACTATATTTAGTTGGTATATATCTTTGCTCCAAAAAAATATTCATCCCTTGCGCACACATATGGTTCCCAAAAAGAAAGGACGATTTGCAACGCTTCTCGGATTCTTCGAGCCGAAAATTGAAAGAGGATGAAACGAGGACAGGATCAGGGAACGTGTATCCCATTTGAAACGGTTGATTGGGTTTCTAATAGGATTCATGTCCTTCCAGCATCTTTCTTGTTACGAATTGATTCGATGCACTCGGTTGCGATTCAATAATGAGCTCATCTGGCCGATCGAATACGTACGTACGAACGTTTGTTTTCATTCGCCAATGTTCCAGGTAATCCAGCCAGGAAATTTCAATTTCTTCGCTGGCATTCTATCCGCTACAATGTTTATTTAGGATTTTTAATTGGCCCGCATTGGATGATGCCAATTTCCGTGTTAAGCTGCCATTTTTTTGAAACTAAATAAAACAAATATTTGGAATATAAGAGTTGGAAAGTTACGCAAAGAAAGTATTTGTAAATGTTTAAAAATGGTTGTGAATAAATAAAGCAGTTTATAGATATTTATTTTTTGTGAAGAATCAATTATTGTTAATATGTTTTCTTGATGTTATTGCAATATTTTTGTATTTGAACATTTTTTAAATATAAAATACCTATAAGAATATAGTTTATTCAATTCGAATTATTTTTGGGTATTATTTATTAGATTTATAAATATTTGTATACTGATAAAATCTTATATAAAACATATATTTAGTTTAAAAATAATTGAATAGGAAAAACGACATCTTTTATATATTTATATTTAGAATTTTAATTGGACTTATTTATGTTTAACAAATTTACACAAGGGACTTAGTGAAAACATGAAAGATTAAAATAATTCTGCATTTATTTAATTTCTATATCTGTCTATCTATAATTAATTTCTAATTCAAATTACTTAAGGTTCCCTTTTGAATTTATTTATTATTCCTTTTATTGAATTTCTATCTATATTTAATTCCTAATTACAATTCCTAAAGCCTCCCCATTGAAACATAAAGATTTAAGTAGAACCCCCACCAAGAATACCTTCCTCAGTGATCTATTCCCTATGTTCATACATATGTAAATCCCTTTACAATTTGACTTGATATTTATGATCTTTTATTATAACAATATTATTAACAATAATTTACCTTTTACCCTCAAATCTGCATTTGACTTGGGGTGTCTGCACTGAAAAGAGCATAATCCCTCCCGTCTGCATATTTGGGAATAATTACTAAAAGTATTGTTTGCTACTTAGCCACAGTGAAAACCTTTTCACGGGACTGCTCATTGTGCCACATCGAAGGCACAATAGTAACGAAAAATAATTAAAATTAAAAACCCCAGAAAATGACAAACTGAAAATTTCATATTTCAGGCCATTAGAATATTTGGTTTCAGAAAAATATAATCTGTTTTCCTAAAGGACTTTGCCTAAATTTATCATTTAAAGGGAATATATTTTAGAAAAATATTATTATTTGGTTGATGGAATTTGTAGCATTTTTTCGGACATTTTTATTTATTTATTTATATTATTTTCTGTTTTTATGTTACTTGTAAAGTAAATTAGTCACCTCCAAGACAATAAATAAAATCAATTCGATATCATAAGGAAGAATATTATAAAATATCTATAATAAATTATAATATATCTATCATATAGATTTATTCGAATAATTTACGAAGTTTATTAAAATAAGTTTAAATTGATTCATAACTTAACTTAACTTAAGTTTCTTAAACCTACTTTTTCTTTTGTTCATCCCAATTTTCTCTGAAACTCTATTATTAATACGTTAAGGAATCCTTAAGCATTTGAGGACAAATTTAGATTGGGCGTAATAATTTCAATTTGCACAGAGTACGTGCTTGGGTTCCAAGAAGTCTTATTTTGTTTTATTTTGTAAAGAAACTTTTGCTTCGGTTACATTTTGGCAAAGGATTGGAACGAATCGATTTCCTTTTGGCGACAAAGTCGCCAAAAAATAATACAATTATTCATCGAGCACGTAACTGACTTTTCACTCGCAGGAGTCTTTGAAGAAAACAGCTCCCTGAAATAATAGAGAAAGAAAAATAAAAATTGTGAACAGGAATGTTCAGGCGTTGCAAATTGGAATGCATCCTGCAGGACATTGCCGATCGGGGGTGTATTTGTGGACATGCAACTACATTCGTCCCTCAGACAACCCATGCTGAGCCCTTTGCTGAGGGACAAAAAAGGATCCTGCACACTTCTTCTGTTTTTAAACGATCCGTACTTGTTGTTCGAGTCACGTCACGGATTTTAGCATTCGAACCCATTTGACATTTGACAATTATTCATTTTTCGTTTTATTTCTTAGAAATAAAAGTCGTCCGCATCGCTCCGAATCGATTGGTTCCAACTCGATGCAATTGAATTGGTAGTTGCCTTCTTTTTCTTCTTCGGAGCCTCTGGCTTTTTGGGCATCCTGTTACCAGGATTCAACAGGATTCGTTTCAGCTGTTCGCCACGATCTATTTGGTGTTTTACGCTCATTTCGGGACGAACAAAGTTTTAAATGTGGAATGTGGAGGGTTTTGGTTATGCGTTAATCGAAGTAAATCGAACTACTCCTACAAAATGATACGGTGGAAATCGCAATTTTCACGTTAATCCTAATTATCCTTCGAACTTAATTGCTTAATTAGAAGACCATTTGAGTGTGTGGCGGCGGAACTGAAGGTGTATATCATGGATTGCTAGAACGAATCCGATTTCGATATAAGTTCTTCTGGGTGGGTATCTTAATGGAAAACAGGATAAGATACGCCGATGCGGTGGGTTGCAGTTCCATTAAGTCCTTGTGCTCAATTATTTATTAAGGGTTTCGACCTTTTTACGGGCATGATAAAAGTTAGATAAGATATGAAGAAGACTTCGGTTAAGAAGTGCATATCTTAGGGGGTTTATTTTAAACAATTAGGGTCAAGATAGGAGGCAGATTAATATATGGGAACGTCAGGTTGTCCTGAAAGAGGAATTACTAAATACCGTAAAAATTTAAAGAATATGCTTCGACATTCTTTTATCTGAGAAAAACCTTGCAGGTTGTTAATTTCTCATGGTAGTAGTTTATTTTGAATAATTCCTTAGCTGCTATGTCTTCCTGAAAATGTCTTTCAAAATAACAAAGCTAAATTGTTTTTTTTTTTTTTTATGAACAATAAGGATTTTTATACAAACATTTTAGTATAAGTATCAATTATTTCCAAAGTAAATTAAAATAATTATTCCTGTGTGTGTTTACTGCGAGATACAAGGATGGGTATAGAACTTATTTTATACAACTTCAGGCTTTACGAAGCTAGCTTCCTTTGATTTTGATATGTTTATATTATTACAAAATACAAAGTCAAGTGAAAACAAAAATAGTTGGTAAATTGCCAATAAAAAATTATCTTAAAAATTAAACCAAATGTTCTATATAAATGCTTGTGCTCTATCCACAAAAACCCAAAGAGTCGTAATCGTAATTTGTGAAATGGGATAGTAATCCCTTATTGATGTGAACCTCCTCATGTCGTGACTCGTTATTTATATTTCGGATCTTGTTGGTTATATCAAAGTAATCAGTTTCATCCAACCGAATAAGTGCCCGCAGTAATTGCAATTAATTTGGAGAGCATCCTAGATATATTGCTACAGTTTAGTTGAAGGGAAAATCTGTTGCAGGTAAAAGTGTCCCTACCTGCGATGACGCATTTTCATCCCTCATCTCTCTCTCTTTGGGATTGTACAGCAGAGCAGGTAGCAGGGGAAAAGGACCCTCCGCTCAGGGTATAAAAGAGCGAGCTGCCAGGGGAATAGCATCATTCGAAGCACAGTTTTCCATCTGAGCAGATCATCATCAGCAAATCGTCCTGCAAAATGTTCGCCGAAACAGCTCTCATTTCCAACACCCAAGGAGTGCCAGAGAAGCGTTCGCTTACCGGCGCCTCCAACAACATGAGGAAGCTGCTGAAGTCCTTCAAGAGGATCTTCAAGAACTCGAAGGTCGTTAAGGAGATGCCAATCCCAACTCCAATCCTCCACACTTGCCACACCGAGGAGGAGCACCAGAACTGGCTCAACGAGCAACTGGAGGCCAAGATCATCAGCCTACAGCATTGAGTTCTTCAGGGAGGATGGCTCTTCAGAGGCTCCGCCTCACCCCCATCGAGTATCTGTGATGTGACCCGATTTGCAAAGGTCAATAAATGGGCACGTCGGCTTTAACCTTTCAACTCCAACTGTGATGACGAGAACACGAGACTGAGACTCCACCTTGTGTGCCTCGGAAGCGTTCAACCAGCGTCGCTTCCGCCAAACTGTACATAACCAATTAGCTCCTAGGAATGTCTTCAATAATGCTTTAATTTAGCTGTAATCATCTTAGAATTAATCATTGTCTTCCATTAGTAATAAGCGAATCATTGTCTTCCATGTTTGTTTGTTTAGGGTTCAAAATTAGCTTAAGAATAAAAATTCCCTTGAGGAAACCAAAACAAATCTTTATGGTGTTATTTCTTGAAAATTTTAAGAATGTTTTTAAACAAACAAAAATTGAAGTATTTCAACACTTCAATTAAGTAAGAATTTTAAAGTGAAATACAAAGTAAAAACACAAGTTCAATTTTCGATTTCAATCGAATAAATTGAACAAAAAATTTACAAATTTAAATGGTTGTTCTAGAAAAGTTTTTAAAAAGAAAATAGATCTAAGAACAATCTAAAAATTCAACAGTGCCTTTGAATTTTATTTAAAAACAAAATTAAATAAGGAAATTCTTGGTATTCAAATCCAAGAAATTTAGCAACGAATAATTAAATATATATTTCTGTAACAGGAACACGAATAACCATGCATAAGATATACTAACTTGTAAATATTGCATTTTCTCCTGCTTTAAGATTATCTCAACACTGGAAATCAGGTTATGTTTTAAATTATAATTATACTTAGGATGTCAGGCTTATATATAAAATAATTAAATTATGAATAAGTTATCACGCACATATTTTTTTTTTAATTTACTTAGTTGTAAAACCAACTATTTAATGGGTAATTTGCATAATTATTATTTTAATATATTGTAAGACATTATTATTTATAAGATTATTCAGTTAAAAAGTTAGTTAGGTGGTCTTAAATTTATAAATTTATTCCGTTTATAGTGTCTGAAAAAATAGGGATTATTTTAATCTATTTTATCTGTAAATATTGTTTTATATATTAGTCTCATTATGCACAATAATAATTAACCCAAGACGTTACCTCACCCAAGAGCGCAAAACCCCCTATTTTCAAAAAGTCGGTTTTGCTCAGTGGCGCCGGTTTTCATCAGTTATCGTGTGCGTTGCATGAACCACGAACTCTGACCTCTGGCCTTGCCACTGCCACAAAAATTAATCGATATTCGATAGCCCAGCGATTAGCGCGCACTTTTCGTTTTGTTTCAAACTGTTTATTTATTTCAACGCTTATAATAAAAGTTGCTATAACAATACACATTCGATATATGTATATATAAGTATATATGTTGGAAGTGCACTTGGGTTTCGTTATCCTTGTACGTGTACGTGTCCTGTGATTCGGGGGTGAGATGTATATGTGTGTGTCCTGTCACTCACTGTCTGATTTGCTGCGTTTTTATAGTTCATAGTAATTTTTCGGGAAGAGTTCTTCTGACCACGTTCTGGAAGATGAAGATACTTGGATGCTGTACGAGTTACGGGGTTTTTTTTTAGTTTTGGGTCCACCAGTGGCATTGAGAGTTGGTTCGAGTCGGCTCAAACTGAGATATATATAATATATATATATTTCTATATAGAGAATGCGGATGGCAAGACCGGAGGAACGGAAGATTCAATTTCGGAGTGGAAGCCTTTCGTCTATGGAATTAGTTTTTGGATTTCGATTTCCTTGTAGATTTTGCTGGTGCTCTTTGCTGGTGCAAGTTTTTTCTTTTCTTTCCTTTTTGGTTTTTCTTTTTCTCAAAAACGTTTCGAAAATGTTGAAATTTGTTTTGTTCTCTCGTATTAGGGTGCAATTATCTAATATCAAATATTTCGTTGGACTAAAACCAAAATAAATGGAACGCTGGCCAATTGTTGTTGTTATTGTTCGTCTGAGTCCGGATATCTCCGGATTCACTGGTAATCCACCGAATCGCTATCGAGAACCGTAGAGGAGACCCTCGAGGCTCGACGGTGCCAGTAATCCGTGTAGCTCGCCTCGTACTGGGCGGCGGTGCGGTGCCACGGTGGCCATTTCAGCTATTCCTCGACAATGTCCCAAACCATCAGGGACGCGTCTGTGCCGCCCACAGTGATAAGCGTATGGTCGCCGCATAAAAAGCGAACGCAGGCCAACATTCCAGAGTAGACCTTCATCTCATGGAATTCAGCTCTCGGTGATATGGCAGGGTATCTATGAATCATTATAACATTATTATTCCTTACAAAACTTGATCAAAAAGTCAAGAGTTACCTAAACAAACGCAGATATCCTTCGGCATCGCCAGAGGCCAACATGTCGTGAGCCGCCGAGCGGCTGCAGGTGGCCACGATGGTATTGGCGCTGCTATAATATCGATTACTCCATTGTCCTGCCACCAGGAAGCCCACAGTGCAATTATTGGTCAACCATTTGACATCCTTCATGGCAATGGGACTGCGTTCCGGTGACAATGACTTGGCATCCCAAAAGAGCAAATCAAAGTCCACAGTCACGGTCTGCACAAAGTTACCATCCATGCTCCAGTCCAGGTGGGTCAGCGGTTGACTTCCCCTGATCTTGTTCACTTTCTTATAAGAGAAGCCATCGCGCGAGACGCGGAACAAATAAATGCTGCCGTTCTGCGAGCCCATGGCGATCATGTCACCAACTATAAATTAATAATTTTATATTAAATTCTATGATATGATAAATCATTAAGTAAAAGATGAACCTCACCCTGATTGTAGGCCACACAGTTGAGTGGCGAACCACAGACCCGGAGTGTCAGCATTACGGCTCCATTCTCGCAATTGATGACCAGCAGGTGGCCCTCGGTGCTGCCAGCAGCCAGAGTGCCAAAGGGATGAAAAGCCAGGGCCACACACTCGTAACCCGTCTGAATAGTCCAGATGAGTTTGTTCTTTCGCCAAAGCGCCACATGTTTGTCATGTCCGGCGGTGGCATAGAGTTCATCATCCGGATGGGCGGCCAGACCCCACAACTGTCGCCCATGGCCAAAGACCACCTGGGTGAAGCGGCGTTGCAGTGAACCCTCCAGGATATTATTTCGCGTTGTGCCCACATAGATGTTGCCATCATTTCGACCCGGTCGTTGAGGGTAGATGGTGCGAACGCCGCCAGCGGCTTCAGGGAGCTGCAAAGTCAAAAAGGAGTTAGTGGAAAAGGAAACTTTCCTTAGATAATCCATACCTTGGTATCGGCAATCTTCTTGTAGTTCTGCAGGGAATCCCAGGCGGCAATCTTGCGATCCTTTTCCCCACCAGAGAGTAGTGTGCCCTCGCCCAGCATAATCAAACAACCAATACCCTTGTTGTGCGCCTCGAACTCTGTGCGCACAAAGTAGGCTCCATCAGAGTCTACGGAGTAAATGGTTATAAAACCATCCGAATCCGCTGTGATCACATCTCCATCCGGTTCGAATTGTACGCTGGTGACATGAGAACGCGATGGCTGCTTAACAATATCCGTCCGCTCAAAGAAACCATCCTTGCGCCGATGCCAAAAGGCCAGGTGCCCCCGTCCATGGGTAATAATGAGGTTGTCGTCCAGCGGATGGAATGCCGCACCCGAGAGGCCCTCCTGCAGGGTCTGTAATTGAGCAGGAGCGGGATTATACTCTCAAGTGGAGCAGGGATTAGTTGGACTTACGGCCACTTTGCCCAGCAGGTGACCCCACTGCCATTGCCACACGGATAGGATACTCTCGCGTCCACTGTCCACGGCCAGTATGTAGCTGCCTCCGTTCTGCAAAAAGGAATCACAGGGGTTACGTTACGTTACTCCCTGAAAGGGATTAAGGTCTGGGACATTACTTACCAGTTGTGAGAAGGCCACAGCGGTTACCCCACTGTCCAGCTCACCCATACCAAAGACATATAGCGTCTGCAGGGACTCGGTACTCCAGATGCGAACATGGGCCTGCGACTTGCGATCCCGGCCAGCTTTCTGGCCCGAAGCCACCAGCTCTCGAGAGGGATGCACATCCATGCTGCGAAGATAATTAATTAATTACATCAAAATGGTAATAGTTTTGTATAAATTACTTACCACATGATATCCTCGGTGTGTCCCGTGTAGTGTCTCTGGGCCTCCTCATCCCGATCAAAGAGCACCGCCACGGCGGCTACATAGTAGAGTAGCTCTCCGGAGGGCAGCACCCACAGATTGCGTCGCGCATCGATGCCACGATACCCATGGCTAAGGACATCAATAACCAAGTTAAAAAGGAATTTAAAGATATATCCTTAGACTCCTACTTACACCCATTGCAGTTGCAGCTTTTTATCCGGCGGGGAATTGTCCGCCGGTGCATGATGTACGGGCGGATAGAAGGTACGCCTTAATCCCCTTATGGTGACCTTGGTGGGCTCCTCCTTCATTATGTCCAGCATGGTGTACTCCCCATTCGGCCGCAGGATTTCGCTTTCTGGAGCATACAAGATCCTGGGTCGACTCTTGCTACGGGGACGTGCTCCTCGAAGCGGCACCTTTGGTAGCTCATCCGTGGGCAGTATGGGTGCGGCGGCCACCACCGAGGGGCGGGAACGAGAACGTCGAATGGGTGAACCAGCAATCAGGGCTGTGCCCGTGGCCAGGTAAAAGGTGTCCACATCGGCGAACTCATTACGGAGTTGCGAGAAGCTACGAACCTGCAGGTTTAGTAAAGGGATTTGTCATTAAAAGGGAAATATAATAAGGAATCCTTAATCTAGATACTGAGAATATATATTTTTATATATTAAGTATTTATATATTAATTTAGTCCCTGTAAACTACAATTAATTTGTTAACAGTAGCACTATGTCTTGCCTTTGTTATTAAGCTTCAAAAAAACCTCTTTCTAAAACTTTTTAATAACAAAAACTTAAATTAAATTCCTATTTAAACTAAG